ATTCACATTTCAACGAAGTAAAATAATGCGTAATTAGGGTTCAGTACCTTAAAAGGTGAAATTCCTTTTTCAGCTTTTAAGGTACTGAACCCTTTTTAGACTGTCCGTGAATCGCCACCGATTTTCTCAGGAATGGGGTGGACCTAGCAAGTTGAAATGGATACCAGATACGTATTAATAATAGTCTCTATTAGTTGTATAAAAATAAAAGTGCTGAGATAACGCGATAAAAAGATATAGGATAAAAATAGAACCTCCTCTTTTTGAAGTCAGTTAAAAAGGCCTAACTCGGAAAAATTCTTACTCGACGGTAATAATCAAGTAGAAAGAAAGAAATTTTGGGGAATTTATTTTAATTAAATTTTAATTAAAATAAAGGTCAAATAACATTTAATTTATATTATTTGAGTATAAGCAATGAAGCAACAATAATTAATATGCAGTCAAAACTTATTTAAATAAACAGACAGAAAATACAAATTTAAATTCTGAATCGGAGTTTAAAATTATACCGATTTACCGAACTTTACTTAAACGCCATTTGCATTATCGAAACCTTATGCCTTGTAGAGTAGTGACAGCAAAATTGCAGAAAAATGGATCTCAACGCTGTAAATTTAAATCTTTTCCAGCGCAGTTGGTGCTGTCAAAGACAATTTACTCTTTCATAGGTTTCCAGTAACGTACGATTTTTCTTACTTGTCTCTGGATTTCTCCGGCATTAAGAACGGCTTTTCCGAAGTACTGGTAACTGGAAATTCCAATGTCTAATAACGAAATTTATGAAGAGAACATTAATTAAATGAATGAATGAATCTAACCTCTGCTTTTATTTTTGATAAATTTTCATGTACCCTACATGAAAAGTAATCAAAAATTTGATTAAGATCAGTTTTATGGGTGGTGGTTAAATTAAGAAATATTGTTTGATATATTAGTGTTTATACGGTCATAGATTGTGTCGCGTTGCCTTGTGTTCTCTGCAATTTTCTGTAGATTACAATTTCATCTATGAGCACTTAAATAGTTTCGCTATAATTTTTAAGGCTATTTTAACTCTTTTAAAAAATTTAAAAAGAAAATAAATCAAATCAGACGATTCAGGAGGAAACCCGTCTTCTGCCTTTATTATTATTATTATTATATATACTTTATTGAACACATCGACTGACAATCATGTTACGACTAACGCTGTCATTCCCCACGAGACCGACAATATTATTCTCTTTCTAACATCACACTCAGTGAAAGGAGTGAAATTAAACGGTGGAAAATCAGGAGTTGGCATTTTAGAAAGAATACTCAACGTGATATCTTTATCTGATCTATCAATTGTACTGGAAGAGGTAAAATTTTGTTTAAGCAGTTCAATATCAATATTATTATGAAAAGTGCTAGAGTGTAATTTACCAAGTCCCAGAGATTTAAGAAATTTCCAAACTTTGGCAGTGTCACCGTTTTCGACAGATTTGTGAATATGGCGCCGTTGTGCATCTCTCTCTCATCTCGCCTTTCTTTATGGGAATAGGTCGTGACCTTTTTTAAAATCATCACTAATGGTTTTTCTGTCTTCAAACTCACACATCTATTGAGACCACGGAAAAACATAGCTCGCAGGCCTGAATGGTGACTCTGAAAAGTAGTTGCTCTAGGCTCATTCAAATTGTTCACTTGGGTGCAAGGCGCTGGCGCCGGGGCAAAGTATGGCGCGTGTTTTATTTCCCCAAAGGCTTTTTCCGCGTGTTAATAAGACAAGTCGACGTTTCAAGGGAGGCGTGTTTACCTCAAACGGTTGGCGGTATGAAAGAGCGGGCTGACATTGAACGACGTGCTTTGGAAAAGATTCGTGTGGAATAACATACGTGTTCCAGTTATACGAAAGATCACGTCTTTACTGTAAGTAAATGGATGCCTTGTCTGTTTCAAAGCGCTTTAAGAAGGGTTTGTCTTCTAACCTATATAGCCTCATATGGTCCTTTAAAATAAGATAGATTTTATGAAAAAGTGTCAGAAATCCAGATTTTAATGAATTATATAACTGTTACATATTTGTACCAATCACACGCCCACCAAATAGTTAGAGATTTGAAAAACAAATAATCTCTTTCACGGCTTATATCATCATCATCCTCGTGCTCTTGTTCCGCCCATATGGGGTCAACATAATATGTGACTCATTTTTTTTTATGTGAAAAGTTGTCAAGCGAGCAGACGGTTTACCTGATGTTAAGTGAATACCGCCGCCCATGGACATCCGCTACACCCGAGGGTTGCAGATACGTTGACAACCTTTTGAAAATTGGGCTCCGTTGTTTTTTTAAGTAAGCGAAGTTTGTCCGTCCTGTTGTTGAGCAGTCAACACTCCTTGGAAAACAAAACACCCAGATCCGGTACAATTGCTGTGGGTCACACAATTAATACTTGTCTCCTGTGGGAATCGAACTCACGACCATCGACTCCGAAGCTAATACGTTAACTGTATAAATGCAAAGACGTAGGCTGTCCACTTACCAATTACCATTGTTGATCATTCTATTCGAATCCCGGAAGTTTCAATATTTAGTAGTATCAATAATTGTTCCCAGCATGTGTGTACTTTTGCTTTTGATTCGTTGTAAGTGCAGATTAGACTATCAGTTATAACAGATAAGCGATAAATACTGTATTAATAAAATAACTGTAGGTAAAGTTAGTTACCTGAAAGCAGGAGATGTCCTTCGATGTCTCTGTTGACCTGCGGTCACTGGTCTTTTCGCACAACACTTTTCAATTCACTTTTGAGTAGTAGTTTTTGACAAAATAGAGTCTTCACCACAGTGTTATGGTGATTGAAGATTTATGCGTGCGGTGCGAGCGTTAAGAAAGAGATCAATCTTAGATTCTTCTTGATTTTATAGGGAAGCGGAAGAGGAGGCATATGGGCGGATATGAATAGTATTACCAGTAATGAGTGATGTGTGCGGTATAATGTAATTACGTATAATTGTGAAACTTATTTATTTATATACGTATTATGAGTTGATATTTAATAAATATCAACTCATAATACGTATATAAATAAATAATTTAGTAGACAATAACAATAGATATATTGCTCTACGCATTTGCCCGACTTAGTATTTCTAACCGTTGGCTCGTCGCAAAAGCAGTCTGGGACACCGCAGGGCCCCTCTTCGGCGTCGCTTACATATTGCGGATGTTGATTATCACACGAGGGCTCGGCTCTTCCTGGACAGTATAAGACCGAAAGCTCGCCGACCGGACAGCTCGCTGTTAAATTCACGCAACGATACACGAACAGTCCAATAATGTAAAACTAAACTAACAGCCTATACATGTCCCACTGCTGGGCAAAGGCCTCCTCTATACAGAGGTTAACAGTCGGGGCATAATCCACCACGCGGCCCCACTGCGGATTGGCGGACTTCACATATCTTCGAAAAATATTTTTTTGTTATTATTTCGAAAATATGCAGGTTTCCTCACGATGTTTTCATTCACCGCGAAGCACGTGATAAGTCAGGTATTAAAGTTAAAAACTTCATTGGTGCCGGCACCGGGGATCGACCTCAGGTTGCTCGAGTATATTTAATTAGAGGCGAGCGCCCGGACGCTGAGCTATCACGGCTCAATACATACATCAACAGTAATTTCAACATTCCGAATCACTGGAAAGGCTAGATATTTGCGAATAGTATTGTTGCCATTTTCAAAAAAATTTGAAGTGAAGGATTTTATTCACCTAAAATGTTAGAGTACCGTTATGAAATAATCTAAGGCTACTGAATGATGTACCAAACCATGTAAGTTTATTATTAAATTGTTTAAAAGATGATAAAACCAACCAATTAATTCCAATTCCTTCCAAATTATTGCTTTATTATTTATATAATATGATTAGTTTGGTTATTTACCTGTAGGTACTCCTTGTCACACGCAATAAGACACGACGAAACTGTTCATTTTTCACCAAGCGTTTAAGTGCCAAGACTAGTAACCAACATTTGCTCGCCCCGTTGCAAGAAGCTGTTTTTAATTAGTGCAAACAGCACCGAGCTACATTTCACTTGCTGACGGCTTACAAATCTCATGCTCTTCAGCTGAAAGGCCACAGCCGTGCTAAGTACCCGTTCTTTAACTTCGAAGCTAGAATATGTTTTTGTGTGATAATTCTCCAACGAAAAAGAAACTATTTCGAACATATGTGAAGTCCGCCAATCCGCAGTGCGGCCGCGGAGTGGACTATGACCTGATATCCTTTGTACAGAGGAGGTCGTTGCCCAGCAGACACGTATAGGCTGGTACTTTACATTTTATGTTAATTCTCTATAATAGTAACGTCTGATACAAAAAATACAAAAATTAACTTGACGATCAATTTAAATTCATGTACCACATGCAGACACAAACATTGTATAACTATTTGTAATTCCCAAATTATGTAAAAGTGATCTAACCGGCTAGCTGGCTGCTCCTTACAAACTCATCTTAGTCTAAAACAATTGTCAATGGTGTTGATCAATTTATAATGAAAATTATGTTATGTATGTATTTTTGAACAATCTATTTAAAAAAAAACACTTTATATTATATATCGCAAAAAACAGTAGATAAATTGTCCATTATACTCACATTTAAATAAATAAATCAAATAATGAAACATAATATATAATCAAATAACTAAACAAGTTAAAATCGTTTTATTAAAAAAACATCTCGCAACTTAATAACTATTATCGTTAACTTAATAACTATTAAATATTGTACAGTAACAAGAGTATTTCTTGAATAACATATAAAATACTTGTATTAACTCTAACATTTATTATTAGGTACTTTATAAATGTGAAAACTGCTTATTTTTAATTGTGTATATTTATACATACTGTGTTATATTTATAACTGTATGTTTCCCGATTAAATTAAAATCAATAAAATAACTGGCCATGTAGCATCAGGTGCAATAATGGTCATGTGCTAGCCAGTTACCGATATGATTATGGGCAATCAGACAACACGACGCATCGTTGGCTCCTTGCGTCCCGGACAGTGGGTGAATTGCAGAAACAGTCGGGTATACCGCAAGCTCCGAACGACCCTTTGGGCAGGTCGTGTACAGTCGGATTATCGCAGGATGGCTCGGCTTTCTGCGGGCAGTATAACACTGAATGCTCCCCTTCTGGGCACTTAGCTGGAAAATAACGCAATTTCCTCATAAATATTATCCTGCAGTAATCGTTTCAATTATATTTGCACGCGTACCTGATGGCTCTTCAATGCTTTTGCTGTTAATTTTTTTTTGTCATAAGTGGGGTCGGTATCTAAGTTCACCAATAAATTTATTTACACCTTTTTTATCTGAAAAGGTGACAAGGTCAATTGACGGTCAAATAGTACTTTTTTTTTATGGAGAAAAGGGGCAAACGAGCAGGAGGCTCACCTGATGGTAAGTGATTACCGCCGTCCATGAACACCTGCAACACCCGAGGGCTCACAAATGCGTTACCGGCCTTTTAAGAAAGAGTACGCTCTCTTTTTGAAGGTTCCCAGGTAGTTACGGTTCGGAAAGACCGCCAGCGGCAGTTGGTTCCACAGAGTGGTTGTGCGAGGTAAGAAATGACTTAAAAATCGCGCTGTTGTGGAACGTTGGACATCGAGATGGTGTGGATGAAATTTTTGGTTCTGGCGCGTCCTTAAGAGATGCCGCAGCCCATAGACCTCTACTAAGAGTGTTGCAGATGCGTTATGGGGCCGTGGTACTTCCCCGGACGAACGTGCCCATTCGTGCAACAGCGACACCGACAGCTGCCTAACCCTACCACGGTAAAAGTGTATATTTAGTTTTTGCTTTTTTTAACTCTACCTCTACTTTAGGATAGCATTATCCTGTGTTGTAAGGACATTTTACAAACATAAATTTCACGTGGACAAACACCCAGATGCGAAACAACTACAAAACTACGGTGGTAGGGCCACGCAACAGCCTCGGCTATTGCACGAATGGGCAGGCCCGTCCGGGTAAGTACCACGACCTCACAGAAGACCAGCGTAAAGTGGAAATATGACAAATACTTTCGCGTTTCGTCTGGTGAGTGAGGTAGCCGGAGCACAATTTTCAGAAGGTTGTCAACGCATCTGTAACCCTCGGGTTTAGCAGATGTCCATGGGCGGCGGTATTCACTTACCATCAGGTGAACCGTCTGCTCGTTTGGCAACTTATCACATAAAAAAAAAATTGTCCCGTGTGGGAATCGAACCCATGACCCCCGACGCCGAAGCCGATACCTTGGCGACTGCGCCACGTAGTCATCTTCCAACTTATAATTACATCCTTGGAACTTAATAATTTAATACGCTTTTAAATTATGGATGTAATGGTAATACATGCAGTTGATACACGTTATTAAATAAAAATATTCAGCAATCACCGACTGTCAATACAAAACGAACCTTCTGCGAACACTCGTATTATATAAAATTACCATGACGATGGCGGTTTATGTGAAATAAATAATCAAACGAAATGTTTAGTTCTTACCTATAGGTATGCCCTGCCCCACCACGCAGATGGCACTGGCTGCTACCAATAACAGAACAGTCACATGTTTCATTTTGCCACGAAATAATACAAACGTTTGACGAATGCAAGTGTTCAATGAAATGACGCCGCCATAATACCTCAATGCTATATATACTTGAATTACCTACAATACATGCACGTGACGAATCGATAGTTTATGTAAGGAATGCTCCGGGGATTAACATTTTACTGGCGGTAACAATATACACGCAGTGTTTATTTGGTTTATCGCTCATTTTCCTCATCTTATAATTTTGTAGAAGATACTTAATTAAATGTCTGTTGCAACTCGTTTTTATATCGGAGAGCAATATTGAATCGGTTCAGAATAAATTATTCGACTCAATTTTATGATTGCTAAAAGTAGATTTTAATATTATGGTGAGTAATTCGTAGGAATTGTGTATCGATAAAATGTTTTTTTAAATAAATATTAAGGTTTTAAAGTTTTTTATAGTGCTAATCTCTGCACTTAAGATTGAACATTAAAACATGTAGAAAAAGTACGAAAAGATTGTCGCCGCTGTGGGAATCGAACCCACGTCTTCAGCATTCGCGGCCTGACGCTCTAGTCACTGAGCTAAACAGCTGAGAGCCACAGCGACGAAAATCTCAACGCCTTCTTTCTACATTGTTATTTAGCATTTGAAGCAATGCTTGGCACATCTATTGTTGTATTCTTTCCAGCATACAAACAATTTCGATTATCGTTTTACAACGATAATTCGAACGAGAGATGTCGCCATTGCTTTTTATAAATTTTAAAGTTTTTTATAGTGCTAATCTCTGCACTTAAGATTGAACATTAAAACATGTAGAAAAAGTACGAATACGCTATCAGCTGTTTAGCTCAGTGGCTAGAGCGTCAGGCCGCGAATGCCGAAGACGTGGGTTCGATTCCCACAGCGGCGACAATCTATTCGTACTTTTTCTACATGTTTTAAAATATAAAGGTTACCTTTATATGACAAGTTACTCGTACGTAGTACATATGAATATTAAATATCAAAGAAATATAAAAAAGGACAAATTAAACACATTTATCGCTTAATTAACCTTCTAAAGATGTAGATTGTACAATAAAAATAAACCTTGAAGAAGTTTCGTTGAGAATCTGAACTATTGGCTGAACAAAACAGCACAAACCCGCTCGCAATGCAGGAACAGTCGGTAGCATTGTCTTGATACTTAAAGCGAGCCCTAATTATTCAGAGAAAGGCGGAACTTAGGAAGTTTCGACGTCAGATACAGCGACACGGGGTGAAATTAAGTTGAATGCAACAACTGCGCGAATGAACGAACACGCTAGGAAACGGGAAGTATCTTCATTGTTATCTCTTGTGCTTATGACAACACGCGTAAACTGCATGATACATCGTAATAATTATTTGTAACTATAGAAATAACAAAGAGACGAATACTTGAAGTTTTATTCAGGAAATCCAAACTTTCTGCTTCTGTTTAGATCAACAGTAGTATCTGCGGGAGGCTAATGAATCGGCTGACTATCATCTTGATAACGGCGAACGGTTAATCAGTAATAATGAGACCCGAATGCTAAGACAGCATTCATAGGAACTCTTGATAAATAATATGTCTCTAATTAACTGTGATGCGATTAAGTGAATTTTTTCCTTCTTTTATTTTTATTCGTTTATATAATTTCGTAAAATACGACAAAGCGAACCGATGCGTTCAACACCAGATACGAATCGAATTAACCTATTCAAATGTAGCAGAGCTTCATAAAAACAGTAATTACGCGGCAACATCTTGATTTGAAAGCTAATCTAAGTGGCGGTTGCTGATTCTGAACAATTTACGAGACGGTAGATATTAATTTAAGAAAAAAGAAATTTTATTTTGACAGTTAAGTTAGTGTTAGCTAATAAACGAATAGTACTCTCTGTTTTTTGGTTATGTTAATGTAGTTTATGATAAGTGAATCTTCTAATAAACATGCAGAGCATCAGTAAGATTACACGTGTTTCTCGAAACACCTGGCAAATAGTGGTAAAATTCAACATGAGGAATTAACTTGAACTATTCCTCGCAACACTGCGTGTTATAAAAATTATGAAAAATACGAAGAGAGACAGCGCCTTTTAAGCAGCGCGGATAGAACCCCGTAGAATAAGATTTGGGCAGATGCATTTTCGACCTGATCTATGAAGTCTTCTTCTTAAAGAATTCTTAAAAAAAAATATAATATAAATCTTCCTTTTACATTTTCCTAGGGTGAAATTAGTGTTAATGAAATCGACGTCGATCGGACTGTTTTTTTTTATTTTATTAACCGACTTCAAAAAAGGAGGAGGTTTCTCAATTCGACCGTATATATAATTTTTCTTATGTGTGTTCGTGGATAACTTTGTCGTTTATGAACCGATTTTGATGATTGTTTTTTTACGGAAAGGAGATATCCCAAGGGTACCATGATAAGGAAACCCGGATCTGATGATGGCATCCCAGAGAAATCGAGTGCCTTCATTGAATGTTATAAGTATTAACAATGCCTTAAACTTTCTGATTGAAGTAGTTTTTTTTTTTGTTAAAAATTATATTATTTGTATTTATCATTCCATGTGAATTATCGACCATTGAATTATAAAGCTAGGACTGTTTTGCACACTTCCTATTTATTTCTCTTGTGCCAAATTAAGACATGCAAGTATAACATATATACTATACGGAAACTAGAATTTATCGTATCACTTTCACCATAAAAGGGAAAGTTCCATAAGTAGCCATTGTACTTCGGCTAATTTGCAAAATGGTTCCCTACCCCTGTACACTTGACGCTTATCGCACTAACGCAGTTTGTAACACCCCCTCCCCAAACGGCTCTTCCGCAACTTTAATCGTTATGATCTCACAGAATGGTATATTTTCATGTTGTATTACCAATTTGCACTATTTTCAGTAACAATTTCACGGCTATTTTCTAATACTCTTCAAGTAAACACGTATCAAAATGAAAACATATTTTCGTACTTGAGTTTCATCAAGAGTACATATCTTTCATTTTTATCCTATTTCTACTCACACAGTACATTGTCTTATGTGTAGCCTAATCCTTTAGAACTAAGGGATATACAAAATGATTAAGTGCTTATAGACACTAAAATTTAAATGTAGATTAGCGTATATCATGCATCTACAAAATTTACTTAAAGTCGTATAATAGTAAATATAAAAATTTATGCAGGTGTTTTTATAAGTAACGACTTGGGTAGTATAAATTATATTTTTTCCGCAAATTCAAAAGCTATTTTATGAATCTATACAAAAAAAAAAACAAAAAAAAATCCTATTTCCATGGCTTTAAAATACATTGTGCCTAGATCTGTTTGGAAAAACGTAGTTTCAAAAAGTACAGTGGAGGAATAAAAACCACAAGTAGGTAATTGCTTTCCTCGCTGTTGCCCTGACTATTCGACAATAATCGAATTCTTTCCTAGCGACATTTCACATTAAATCTTTGGTAACTGCTAGCGACAATGCTTTTTAGGCGACTACGGCGGCGGAGCCAAAAAAAAAGTGATACGTACTTGTTTAACATACATGGAGACAACATCGGGATGTTCCCTCGTACTTACTATGTATTTTGTGAATGCATAAAGGGAAACAAAATATGAAAGGAGGTCTCTAATCTCCACTAAGTGCCAATTACTTAGTTTCTTTGTGCAGTATATAACTGCAACAACTAATTTTTATACGTGTAACCAATAACATGTAGGTAAGCGTTTAATCTTAATATTTTTATTTTTATACAAAAAATTATTAAGTTACAATTAAGGAAAGATTTAGTATTATATATCTTAATTGACTAATTAGATAACTTTCGCTATTGTTTTATTTTTATACATAAATCTAAGTGTATATCTTTACGACCCGGTTTCTTAGCGACCCTTTCTAAAATATTAATTCGTGATTATAATTTAAATGCTTTTGAAAATTCTCTGTTCGAAACCGTCTCACAGAGACTCGTATATAAATTCGTATTTATTAGAAGAGATAGTGGTGTGGAGAAAATCGAATTTCTAAAACAATATGACAAAAAAGTTATTATTTAGTAACGATTTTATGCGAAAAACAGACAGCCTCTTAGAGAAATATTGCAAAAAGATAAGGTTATGAAAAACTCCCCAAAAAAAATGTTTGTCACACGAGGCTTACTTAATTTTATTGATATTCTCTCCTCTTCATGAAGCGTACAGGCGAATATAGTCTTTAAATTAATACTTGTATCTTCTGAATTGGATTGCGCGAGCTATATCTGTACAAGGAACACCTAATTTGATTTCCTTCGAGGAAAACGAAGTTAAAGGGAATGTTTTAATGCACGGTAAGCGCTTTACTGATTCTGTTCAGCACAACATGCTTACCACGCGGCATAAAGAACTGTTTACTCTTTATTCTTCTGAAATTAGCCACTCTCCTTAGTTTGTAATAAAAACATTCATGTAATAAATTAAACAAGCAGGAAAGTGATATGTAACAATATTAATACACAAACGGTTGTAAATTAATACGGTTAACTTGATACTAAAGAAATACCTCCGCCCTTGGACATTTACAACATCCGATGGCTTGCCGATGCAATTTATTAAGATTTAAAAGTGTGGGCACCCGCCGGATAACACTACACCCACAGTTAGTGTAACAACAATCACACCAGTTCGCCCTCGCCTCCGAGCACGGCGAGACCCACACAACGCGTACACAAAGTACACCCGCGTTCCGGGGCGGTTCTCACCGCTCCCAGCCACCGATTAGCTAAATGCACAGTCGACGGCCGTCGGGGTCTCGGTCCGAACCGGCGACCTCGACGGCCCTTAGATGACACACGATAGTAGATAAATGCACGCATGAGCACATGCGCGACCCTACCCATAGCAGAGGGTCCAAACCCGTGGGTTCTGGCTAGCCCACCGGTTCTGCGTCCGATGAAGCTTTAATAGTCTCGGGACTGAAAGCAAAAACATCAGTTAATACAAGATACAAGAGAAGTGTGGGCCCTGATTACCT